AAGAAAAACCTTCCACAAGAGGCCCAACCCTGAGACCCCAGGGTGTGCAAGGATTTCGGTTGGCGTGGGAGCGTCACGCTGTCACACCGCAAAGCCATCGAAACCCAAGAAACCCAGGGCACCCTGGAGGCGAGCAGGGTGCTTCTTGGCATGGGTCCCCACTGCAACCCCTGAAGCATGGGCGGGGCCTCTCAGGCAGGCTGGCAGTCGGCCGCGGCCAAAAGAGGTCACCACTAAGGAGCGTCCCTGTGAAAGGGCCAAGGGACACACAAGTGAATAGATGCACATCCCAAGTGCACCCAATCATTTCCAGTTCGCCTTCCCCCCCACTTCCCATATTTTCCTATATTTTCCTGGGAGTCGACGACTCATTGTGTCCGTTGCCTTTCTCCTCTCCTGACCCTGGCTCCTCGAGGAACCAGACTCCCCCGTGCTGGCGGCGGCCACAAGGGGGTGGTGCTACAAAGGGTGCGGCCATCTGATGAGTCGGAGGGGCCCTGTTCGAAAACAGGGCGGCCTTCTCAGAAAGCCCCGGAGGCTTCTGCTAACGCTTTTGAGAGGCCGCGCGGGCTTATAAGAAGCCCCTATCTTCTTAGAAGCTCCGCCGCTCTAGTAGACGCCCACCCCCCAAGGCACCCGAACCCAATCTTCGAATATCTCTCGAGGCTCCCCCCCAAGGCCCCCGAACCCAAGGCCCACCCCCAAGGCTCCCGAACCCAAGTAGACGCCCATCCCCCTCGTCGAATATCTCGCCAATCCTCGATCCCCCCCTGCCTCGATCCTTAATTTTCGAGGGGAGGTAGCGACCCCCCTTGCTCGGGCGCGCGTCGACATGGCTTCCGGGTCTGTGGATCCAGCGCGTGGGCGCCAGATCCAGGGATCGGGGACAGGACCCCTCGAGACATGGCGACAACACCGCCCGACTAGGCGACGGTGCGCGCCAAATGTCTCATCAATGCATGCTTGCGCTGCCGCTGGTGGCCTCCCAGATGGAGTCAGAGCAGACGGGGTCGGAGGATCGCGCCACATCGCCGATGCATCATCGATGCAGCGGCGACGCCGGCGTGGAGAAACGTCGGGCTCCACATGTCGAGCCGCACTGCGCGTGCGCCGGCGATGCGGCGCGCGGCCCTCTGACCCCGCCGGCTCTCTGGCCCCACCCGGGAGGCCTCGCGCTTCCTCCAGCCACGAGGAGGTGATCCTCCCTTTGCCACTGCCCAGAGCCTCCAGATTCGCCCGCGCCAGCGCAGCAGCCGGGCAAGCGGGACGCGGCGGGCGGCCGGGAGGCGCGGTCCCGGAGGCGAGGACAGGGTAGGGATATGTTCGGACCTCGTCCTCCTCATTCCTCCTCCTCCTTCTCCTCTCCTCCTCCTCCTCCTCCTCCTCCTCCTCCCCCTCGCCCTGTCCTTCCTTTTCTTTCCTCGCCTGTTCCTTCCCATCCTCCCTGGGCTCCCCCCCTGTCCCTCTGAATACTACTCTCCCCTCTCCCCCGAATGTGTCCGAGAGTCGCCGCCCCCCTCCGCGTGCTGGCGTTTTACACACATGCTCTGCGCGACCGAGCTTTTCTTTCGTGCTTTCTGGTTTTCTGAATTCGATCCCTCCGCGTGTGTGTGTGTGTGTGTTTCTTTTGAATCTGAAGCTTTGTTGTTGGTTTGTTGCTTTATTCTCAAACAAAAGCTGCCCCAGCAGGTTTACATACTAGAAACATCGCGCGCGCTTGGCGCGCGCTCAAGTTCTAGCCAGGCTTGATCGGCTAACTCATGTCGTCCAAGGACTCCCTTGGAGGCCCTGCGCAAGCCTCGGAATCGTATAGAAGGGGAAGTGCGGAAACGCAGAAATCACTCATTCCCTTTAGATATTCAACGATTGGGGGCCCTTAAAGGCTTCCTGGGTTTTTTTGGGGGAGGTGAGGGGGGTCTGAATTGTGGTCTGCCTTGCTGGAGTAGACCGGGGCCAAACTTGAAAAACAAGGGATTGTGGGATTTCCATGTTTTCCCAATTCCTCGGCGCTGTCTTTTATTTGCGCCTCGCGAGTTTTGTTAGCCGTGGCCCTCAGGGGTGTATCTTCCGCACCCCCTTGGGGGTTCTGGAGGCCTCCTGAAGGCCTGGAGAGCCGTTGGAAGAGTGTCTCGGGCTGCTTGGGAGCGCCTTGGGCCGTTCGTTACGTTCTGGGAGCTTCTTGGGGTCGTCATGGGCTGTCCTTCGGCGTTTTGGGGTCTCCCCAAGAAGCCGGGAGGCGCGGTACCGGACAGATGTCAGGGGATGTGTAGGACCCCCGAGTAGGAGTCCCACTTTGAAAAAAAGAAGGAATTCTGGGAATTCCCTTTTAAAATCCTCGATCTTTGAGGGTTGGAAGCGGGAAAACGTGAGGTGAAAAACATTGGAAACAAAAACCATTGAAAATCGGCGATTTTACCCTCTTTGGGCTCTCTTGGGATGGCTCTCGCAGCCGCAGCTCTCTTGGGCTGTTCTTGGAGCCTCGTCGGGGTCTTTGTGGTCCTGGAAGCCTCTCGGAGATTTCTGGAAGCCGCCTGCTCCCGCTCTTGGGCCCATCTTGGGCCTGCTCCGGGGTGGTCTGGGGCTGTCCTGGGAGCCTCTTCGGCAGTCTTGGAGTCTTCGTGGCCCGTCTTGGGGCCGTTCTGAGGGTCTCTTGGGTGGTCTTGGGGCGGTCTTGGGAGCCTCTTCGGCGCTCTTGGACCATTGGAAGCTCGCAAAAGCCAAAAACATAAAAAACAATGAGCATCTACGATTGTGGCCTCTTCGGGCCGTCCCAGGTTGCCTCTCGGACCTCTCTTGGGGTCTCTTGGAGGCCACCTGGGAGCCTCGAGAGCCGTCGGAAGGCTGACTTGGGCTGCTTGGGAGCGTCTTGGACCATCCTTTCGCATTCTGGGGGCTCCTGGGAGGCGTCTTGGGCCCTCCTGGGGCGCGGTGAGACTCCCCGGAAAGGCCGGGGGAGCGGTACCGGGAGCGTCCCCGAGATGTCGCGGAAAGGTGTGGGACCCAGGGCCGGGGGGGGACGGTAATTATTTGTAGTATACATAGAACAAATGCATCCGACTGGTTACAGTTTCCGATTAGTCTCAATTTTTAACACATGGTGACACATGGTGCTCTCGCTACAGCGTGGGCATCATTTTCGGATCGGCGCTGTGCTCCCGTTGTTCATGATGGCGCTGCCGCCCCAGTTTTGGCCACTTCTGGATCCCACAGGTCTCGCAGGCACCACAGGACCCACAGGACCCACAGGTTCCACAGGTCGCAAAAGTCCAACATGTTTCGCAGGTCTCACATGCCTTATATAGGTCCAACAGGTCCGACATGTGCCGCAGGTCCCAGAGGTGTCAACTGCATCACAAAGCCCACAGAAGTCAGGTCTCCCGAGCCCTACAGGCCACAGAGGTCCCCCAAGCCGCTCAGGTCCCACACATGTCCCATTTCCGACTGCGCATAACACGATGGGGTCTTCTGTGGAGTTCCATGTCGACTATGACACGCGTTCCCGAATAGAGAAACACAGCGCAGTGGGAGGAGATGGGAGGGAGGGATATGATTTCAGATATGGCGCGAGCGCACCCAGATTGTCCTTCTCCTCCTCCTTCCTCTCCCCCCCTTTCCTTCCTCTTCCTTCCTTTCCTATTCCTTCCCCTGCTCCTCCTCATTCTATCTCTCTCCTCTCCCTCCGCTCCATCCGCTTCCTACCCCCAACCTCCTCCCCTCCTTCGTCATCCTCTCCCCCCCCTTCTCCTCCATCCTCCCTCCTTTGTTCGCCTTCCCCCCTCCTGCTCCCTCGGGTTTCTAGCTGCCCTGCCATCCAGTGCGATCTGGGCCTCCAAGAGCGCTCGCGACGAGGCGCAGCCGCCGGACAGCAACCACCGAGTAGCAACGACACCGCCCGAAAACCTGAAAACCTCGAACCTGAACCTCCTCTTTACCTAATCTGCTCCTCCTCCTCCTCCTCCTCCTTCTCCTCCCCCTCCTCCTCCCCCTCCTCCTCCTCCTCCTCCGCGTCCTCCTCATCCTCCTCGTCCTCCCGTTCCTCCTCCTCCCTCTCCTTCTCCTCCTCCTCCTCCTCGTCCTCCTCCTCCTCCATCATCTCCTCCATCTCCTCCTCCTCCTCGTTCTCCTCCTCCTCCTTCTCCTTCTCCTCCTCCTACTCCTCCTTTCTCTTTCTCCCTCTTCTCCTCATCGTCCTCGTCCTCCTCGTCCTCGTTCTCATCCTCGTCCTCCTCCTCCTCCTCCTCCTGTTCCTCCTCCTCCTCCTCCTCCTCCTCCTCCTCTTGGCACGCCTGTAATTGGTACTGTAAACAAGAGTATGCAGTATACGATGCCCAACAACACATGTCGCTCAAAGCTGGCAACAACCGCTGTCGGGGAGGCGACTTCGTGTCTTAGACGGACGTCGCTCACGGTGACAGCGACAACAAGCCTGCTTCAAGATGGACAAGATCTGCTGCCGTGCTCATCCTCTACGTACCATTTAGATCGTATCGATCTCCCAGGCTTCCCGGCCGCCCGGCTCGTACTCCAGGACCGCTTGGTACTCGAGCACGGCGCCGTCGAGGTCCCCGCGCCGCCCGAGCACCGAGCCGAGGTAGAAGTGCGCCAGCCCGTGGCGCGGCGTGACCTCCCCAAACTACAACAGAAGAAAAAGAAAAAAACATAAACGGAACACGAATAAGAGGAATACTAAAAAATCACCCAATAAGACTACGATGGGAAATTTTACGAATCACAATCAGAAGACTACTAATACTACTACTACTACTACTACTACTACTACTACTACTACTACTACTACTACTAGTACTACTACTGCTACTACTACTACTACTACTACTACTACTACTACTACTACTACTACTACTACTACTACTACTACTACTACGACTACGACTACGACTACGACTACTACTACTACATCTACAACTACAACTACAACAACAAAAACTACTACGACTACTACTACTCAAAATAATACAATGATTTTTAATGCGACGAGTCCTTACGGCAATCACCATACTACTACGAATATTACTGGTACAAGGCGTGCTAAGGCACTAGTGCTACTACTACTACTACTACTACTACTACTACTACTACTACTACTACTACTACGACTCCTACGACTACTACGACTACTACGACTACTACGACTACTACTACTACTACTACTACTACTCTACTACTACTACTACTACTACTACTACTACTACTACTACTTCTACTACGACTACTACGACTACGACTACGACTACGACTACTACTACTACTACTACTACTACTACTACTACTACTACTACCTACCACTACTACGACTACTACGACTACGACTGCGACTAATACGACTAATACGACGACAACGACGAAAACGACGACGACGACGACGACGACTACTACTACTACTACTACTACTAAAAGTAGTACTACCAATGATACTGCGCGGGCCCCTTTGTGGGGCCACCAAGCTGGAGGGTGAGGACATGCTGAGCCATTTCAAGTCTCCAATGTTACAATCCTGCTCCCCACGTCCTACTGTAAATGGTTGACAACCGGCACTTTACCACGCCAGCATCGCGATGCCAGCGTAGAATAAACTACCACTACTACAAATACAACTACTACTACTGCTACAACAACTACTACTACGGCTACTACTACTACTACTACTACTACTACTACTACTACTACTACTACTACTACGACTACTACCACTACCACTACTACTACTACTACTGCTACTACTACGACTACAACTACGACTACGACTACTACGATTAAGACTACGACTACGACTACGACTACTACTACTACTACTACTACTACTCCTACTCCTACTCCTACTCCTACTCCTACTCCTACTCCTACTCCTACTACTACTACTACTACTACGACGACGACGACGACGACGACGACGACGACGACGACGACGACGACGACGACTACTACTACTACTACTACTACTACGCCTGCTACGTCTACTACGGCTACTACGACTTCTACCACTACCACTACTACTCCTACTACTACTACTACCACCACTACGACTGCTTCTACTACTACTACTACTACTACTACTACTACTACCACTACGACTACTACAACTACTACGACTACTACTACTACTACTACTACTACCACTACGACGGCGACAACACCAACAACTACTACTACTACCACCTTCACTACTATTATGACTGCTACTACTACTACTACTACTACTACTACTACTACTACTACTACGACTACGACTACGACTACGACTACTACTACTACTACTACTAATACCACTACCACTACTACTACTACTACTACTACTACTACTACCACTACACTACTACTACTACTACTACTACTACTACTACTACTACTACTACTACTACTACTACTACTACTACTACTACTACTACTACTGGTATCACTAATACTCATGGTACCGAAACACGAAGTAAAACATACAACACTCATCGTGCTTTTTTATCCATATTACTACAATCGAAACATATAGAATGGACACGAAGATTTCGAATACCAATCAAACTAATACAACAAGTCATACTGATAATGGTAACACAACTGAGCAACAACATCCCCTCTGGTTAGGCTTCGGGATGCGCACAGACAGCCCACCAAGGTAGTCATGGCTGGCCTCAGCAGGCCCCCCGAGCAGGCTGCCCTCAACAGGCCCCGCCGAGTGGTCGGCGGCGGTCTCAACACCACGGCGCCGCTTCCAGCGGCACCCCTGGGGCGCACCGCGCCCCAGGGTTGAGGTGTGGAGGCTGCCTGTGGGGCCAGCCTGGACTACCTGGGGGCGGAGCTGTCTGTGCGGAACCCAAAGCTTGAATTACAGTCGGACTTGATTGGAGATGACACGCGAGAGGACACAAGACCCTTCCGAGGGCCACGTTGCCATAGGAATGCAGAAGGAATGGGTCGCGAGACACAGAGCGTAAGGGTACCATCGAGTTGGCAAGGTCGACCTGCTAATAAGGGCCGACTGTACGAATCCTCGCACAGCGGATCGAAGGTCAAGCGAAGGGAGGGTCAACAAAAACGGTTCCCCCTGCACCCTCCGTCCTCCTCCACGTCGGGCCTCTTCACCCTTCTTCTTCCACACTCCTCCTTTCCTCGTCCCCAGGCCAAACAGAGGAAACAACGAGACAAACATAATTACTTACATTTTCTCAGGGGTCCGCAAGGAATTCTTGGATCGGCGTTGGACCCCTGATCATGAGCGCGGCGAACACCACGGCAGCGCCGTTTGCGCAATGCGGACCCAATAACTCCGCGCGGACCCAGAATTCCCGAACCATCTGCCGCCAAGGGGCGTGGTGCGGACCCAGGAATTCCGCGTGGAACTGCACAAGTGGATGCTTATGCCCATTCTTCCTTTTCGGCTGACCCCTCCGCAACGCGACAAAACCAGCATGACGCGAAGAATTCTGGACGTCTTCGGCCTCCCGGGCTCCTGGCCAGGTCCCGGGGCCGTCAACAGAACCTGCGCGTGGCCGAGTCTGGGCGCGCCAGGGGGGGGGGGTCGCGCCGCCATGTGGGACCCATGCACAGATCTTGGACGGACGCGGGCCCGATGCAGAGCTTCGGCGTCGTGATCGTTTCGCCACGTGGACCCCCAGTGGTCTCGACCCCGAGCCCATTGGCAGATCTGCTTCGTCCCGAGCCGTTTTTTGGACGGTTCTGGAGCATGGTCAGGGCCTCCCCTGGAAGCTGACAATGGCCAGCTGCCTCCCGCCGCGACCTTCTTCTTCGCAGCGAGAGGAGTTCCAGAGGTCCAACGACGCGAAACAGACGCACCATCGTGACAAATCAACACCGGAACCCCAGACCTCATCTTTCTGCGCCACTTTTCGAACCGGCTCCATCTGTGAGGGTCCCGGGGCCCAAGAATGCAGTCAACCCGTATCACAAGGATGCACGATAAAAAAACGACACTTTGCGGGCGACTTTGCGGGCAGGGCGCGGCCAGCGAAAGCGGCCAAGGATGGGCCGAGGAGGCAATGATGCAAGGGGACCCCTGGGAAGCCTGCCCATCCTTACTGTGCGGCTTGACAGTATTCGAAAACGCCCGCCTCGAGCAAATTGCGGCGCCAGAATCTCACGGGTGGGCGGGCGGCGGCACCCACGACGGAGACGGCGGTGGGCAGCCGGGACAAACGCTTTTCAAAAGCGTCGTCGCGTCGCCGTCGCCGTCGCCGTCGCCTTCGCCGTCGCCATTTTCGTCGCCGCCGCCGCCGCCGTCGTCGTCGTCGTCGAAGACGAGGCCGGCAGCGGCGGTGGGCTGCGCCTCGAGCGCCCGCCGCAGCGCGCGCAGCGCCCCATCGAGGTCTCCCAGCTCGCCGAGCGCGGAGCCGAGGCCGCACAGCGCGTCCGTGTGCCAGGGGTTGGCGGCCAGCGCGCGGCAGAACTCGGTCGCGCCGCCGACGAGGTCGGATTCCTTGCTTGTATGTTGCGCTCGAACCTCCGACACACCGCAAACCCCTAAGTCGCATACTGGTTTAGGCCTGCTATACGATAGCGGACGGGCCCCCACATTGCAGCGCATTGACTCACAGTGGCGTGGGAGCTGGCGCAGCGTTTCACCCAGCGTGGCAGACCAAATCGAAAGTCCTCGCAATAGGTTGTTCCCGTCGTACTCCAGGAACGCATCCCAGAAACAATTTCGAGCACCCAGAGAATGATCGAACCAGTATCTGCCCGGCGCGCTGGCCTAATGCCGAACGAATCTCGCCTCCCGGGGCCTGTCACGTGAAAACGCTCCAGCTTCGATACCATTTTGGTGCTCGAAACTCTTTCTGGCGATCAAGGCTCAAGTAGGACTGGACATCATGATCCTCGCAGTGGGAGCCTGGGCAAAATCGCGGGCGCACCACCAAGAGAAATCGACGTCGGACTCCCTTCGGCGGCGCGCCCAGGTGGGCAGGGCGGAGGGGGCAACGCTGCAGCCGTCGTGCTGCCACGAGGAACGCTGCACGAGCAACGGCGAGGCGCGCCTGGCCTCGGCGAGCCCTGGCTTTCAATGCTTGCGTCGACGCGCAGCGAAGGCCAGTCCACGAGAAACCCTTCACAAGGAACCCAACCCTGAGACCCCAGGACGTCCAGTGGTTCTTGGTGTGGGAACGTCACGCCTTCCGAAGCAGAACCATCGAAACCTGACACACCCAGGGCACCCTGGAGGCAAGCAGGGTGTTTCTGGGCATGGGCCTCCACTGTATATCTAGGGAACGGCCCGAAAACGGTCGCTTCTTTTGTGCCCAAACAACACCTTGGCGACACAACCCGAAGGGAGGTACCCAAGGTGCCTGCATGAATTGACATGCAGTCGGACCTCGCAACATGAACGGCGGCACAGACCCGCCCCAGGCGTCACATCTGCGCCACCGTTGCGAGGTGCCCCGAGATGCCACCCCGAGACACGGCCACCGGCACCACCCCCACTTGGCCGCCGGCCTCAAGCAGCGGAGGCCCCAAAGTGTCCCCTCGCTTCAGTGTCGCGACCGTGGTCGGCGGCGCGCTCAAGGGGGGCACGGCAGAGGGGGGCGGGCGATCTCTCCGGCGGCTCTGGAGGCCGCCGGCCTTCGGGGAGGCCTTCTGCGCCTAATATTAAGCCGGGCGTGTCCCCCTATGGGGGGATTTTGGACGAAAAATTAAAAAATACGGAACAAATGCTCCAATATGGTCAAACAAAAACTCAAAAAAAAACTGTCCCCAAACAATTTTTTGACTAGTTTGGAATATTCGCCCTGTCGAGTGACAGGCCCGGCTGGAGCCTAATCCGAAGCTCCTCCGCCTTCCGAGCAGGCCTGCGCTCTCTCCACTTCCCCCCCCCCGTGCAACGCCGACAGGCATCGTGCTACCCTACAAGTCGGCCCGTATCGATAGGACGCGCGGGAGGGGGCAAGGCCCTCGGACGGCCGTCTCGCAGCGTTTCGGGCAGGGCGCGGCCAACGAACGTGGCCAAGGATGGACCGAGGAGGCAAGGATGCAAGGGCAAGGAGAGCCCAGAATCGAATCGATACGTCGAATCGGCGATCTAAATGATCGGCGGAACTCGACAAACAAGTCGGGAGGAATATAATCGGTGCACATCGGCAGAACAATACGGCCTCACTGAGAAATCGGAATCCAAATCGGAGCTCGAAATCGAGTCGAATCGGAATCGGAATCCATAAAAGTCAAATCGAATCGAATCGGGGAAATCGAAATGCGCTCTGCAACGCTACCCTTGGGAACGTTGCCCATTCTGAGGATCCCCGGCCTGAACCGAAGGAACGGCGCGCCGCCGATCCTTCGACGACGACGACGACGACGACGACGACGACGACGACAGCGGTGACGCCGACGACGACGACGACGTCAGCGGTGGCGGCGCGGCGGCGGCAACGGCGATGGCGGTGGCGGCAACAGCAGACCCAACTGTCCTCCGGTGCGATTTCTCACTGCATGGCCCAAAGATACGGCGCAGCCGGGACGAGGACAAATTCGGGCGAAGATGGATCGAGAATCTCTGAGATCTGGCGGCTCTGGAAGATGTCTCGGGCGCCGCGGCCTTCTCAGAGCGTTCCGGAACGCTCTGGAACGGACATCTCGTGGTCCTGGCCCCGTCCGACCAGAGGAGGTCCCGATCACCTCCCCGGGGCCAGTTTCGTCCCCGATCCATCGCTAGGTCGGGGTCGTCCTCCTACAGGCGGATTCTGGACGAAACATTGAAAGATTGCCAAAAGAATGCTCAAACACAATCCGACCATCGTCGAAAAATCATCCCCTGACTATCATGTTGCCTATTCTCGAAGATTCCTCCTGTAGAGGGACACGCCCGACTGACATCCATTCCTGCTGGCCCAGAGGGGCCGGCCACATGCCCCAGAGGCCGAAGCCGAGGAGCGGCGCCAGGACCGAAAAGGTCACGCCACCGGAGAACTCGCCAAGAGACTCGGCCTTCGCTCAAAATCTGCTCCCGGACTCCCTCCATCAGGGGGACGTAAGACCTGGGTACAGGGGACTCGGAAATCCCCGACGAGGTCGTCAAACAAATGACGAGGCCGAGCCTGCATTTTGATGAGGCTTCCCGCTGCAGACATCCCACGAAACTCCTCCTCGTCAAAATCCGAGGCGCGGTCGTCAAAAAACGATGGCGAACCCGAGTCCTGGCAAACCCGGGTCTTATGCTCCCCCGACTCCAGGGTCCATCCTGGCCCGATTCTCGGGGCGGGTCCAGCCGTGAGGACGAGAAGCCTGCAGGAGCCCCAGCAGGGACGAAACGCACCGAGGAGGTGGCCATCGAGGAAAACGCGGAGTGGGGGAGCCGGGGCGTCGGGGAGTCGGGGAGCCGGCCAGTCGGGAGGTCGGGGATCCGGGGGGTCGGCCAGTCGGGGAGTCGAGGAGTCGGCCAGTCGGAGAGACGGCAGCCTACAGGAGCCCCAGCAGGGACGCGAAACGCGCCAGGGAGGTCGCCAGCGAGGCAAACGCGGGGACTGCACCGGTCATGTCGTCGGCGGTCTGGGACGGCGGCGGCGGCGGCGTCGACGCCTCGGGTGGCCCCAGACGCGGCCCTGGCCCAGGGCGCTCCCAGCTCTCCGCGCCGTGCTGGGGCCTCTCGGGCCCTCCGGGCCTCGCGAGGGGCGCTCTGGAGCCCTGGAGCGCCATCTGCGCCTCGCCGTGGACGCCGTGGGGCCACATTCGGCCGGGGCCACTCCTGCGAGAAAGCAGCTCCCAGGAGTTGCATCCCAACTTTAGGTCGGGCGTGTCCTCCTACAGGCGGACTTTGGACGGACAAATAATAATCAAAACATGCTCAAACATAGGCAAACATGGTCAACACATCGTCAACATACTAATTCTTGCTATTTTTTTAATCTCTCCTGCAGAAGGACATGCCCGACTTAATCCTGATTTCTGGCCCCCCCCCCCCCGAGCGTGGCAGGCCTGGTCCACCAGCGCGGCGCCCAGCGCGGCGCGCGCGTCCGCCAGCGCCCTGTCCTCCTCGCTCACCGACGCCTGCCGCGGGGAGGCGGCGCGGCCGTCGCCGCGGCCCCGCTCCGGGGAGGAGGAGGAGGAGGAGGAGGAGGAGGAGAAGGAGGAGGAGAAGGAGGAGGAGGAGGAGGATGAGGAGGGGGAGGAGGAGGAGGGGGCAACTCTGTCCAGTCAGTGTGCCGCCAGAAGGTGCGCTGCGTGGGGAGCGAAACGGTGCGCTTCCCTGGCCCTGCCGAGCCCCGGCTTCGCATCGGCCGCCTAAGCCCAACGTTTGGCTTAAGTCGGGCGTGTCCCCCTACAGGGGGATTTTGGACGAAAAAAACAATACTCAAAAAATTATCCCGGCAAAGCAACCTAACAGCGATGTGTAGAAGCATATCTGAAAGCATTCCCCTTAAGATTAATATGAAAATCCAGTTGTAGAATTCTGCTGTTCTCGCAGTCGTAGTCGCATTCGCGATGACAGTCGCAGCGGCAACGGCAGTCGCAGTCACAGCCTCAGCCTCAGTCTGCTTCAGCCTCAGCCTCAGTCTGCCTTCAGCCTCTGCCTCAGCCTCAGCCTGCCTCAGCCTCAGCCTGCCTCGGCCGCAGCATCAGCCTGTCTCAGCATTTAAAATGTGGCCCGGGAATGGAATTCTGGGAACTCGAAGGACACGAAGTGGCCTACAGTTGGCTCCGGGCATTCAAAATCATGCCCAGGAATGGAGTTCTGGGAACTTGAAGAGCACGAAGTGGCCTACAGTTGGCTCCGGGCATCCAAAATGTGGCCCGGGAATGGAGTTCTGGGAAATCGAAGAGCACGAAGTGGCCTACAGTTGGCTCCGGGCATCCAAAATGTGGCCCGGGAATGGAGTTCTGGGAAGTCGAAGAGCACGAAGTGGCCTACAGTTGGCTCCGGGCATCCAAAATGTGGCCCGGGAATGGAGTTCTGGGAGCGCCAAGAGCGATTTTGCGAGGATGTCCCAAGCGATTTCGGCTTCGACGGCAGCCTGTCCGGGTCCCGCCCAGACCCCCCTGAGGAGTCATGATGCTCTCTTTTGAGACCACTAGAAACCTATCAGCAAGAGCTGTTAGATAATGACCCAAATGTGTCAAAACATACTGAAAAAAAAGTCCCCATATCATTTTGTGACTATTTTGAATATTCCTCCTGTAGAGGGACAGGCCCGACTTAAGCCTAAGCCCAACGCTTGGCCCAGAATGTCGGCGTCGTGGCTGTTGTCGGCGGCGCGCCCAGGGGGCAAGGCAGAGGGGGCGGGCCTTCTCAGCTTGCTCAGCCGCCTTCGGAGAAGGCCGACCCCTTCTGCCTTCTCCCCTGGCTGCGCCGCCGGGAGTGATCGTGCTGTGCTGAGGCACGCCGAATCAAGGAACGAAGGAACTTGTCTGGCCACGGCCAACCTCGGCCAGTTACGAGCAGGTCCCCCGACCTGGATCGAAGGAACGGCCCGAAAGTCGGAGTTTCTCCTGGGCCGCAGATGAGCGACGAAAAAGAAGCGGGTCTTGCGCAAGATGGCATGGCAATCTTACGCCGCGGCTTACAGCCAACCCGCATTTCAAGGATGGGCAACCTTCCCAAGGGTACCCTTGCATCCTTGCCCCTTCGGCCCATCCTTAGCGCCTTTTGCTGGCCAGCCGCGTTCGAAAAACGTTCGCGTGGGCCTCCAAGGCCCATGCATCCTTACCGTGCATCCTTTCGATACGGGTTGACTTTCCGCGGGCCGCCAGCGCGGCACGCGGCATCGGAAACGACGGCGCCTACGCGCGACCTTACGCGGGCAGCTCACGCGCCAACGCCGGTGAAGACGAGCCCGATGTTCTGCTGGCTCAAGTGGGAAAACATCGAGCTCGAATCGGCGATGGATCGCCGATTTGGCCCTGAATAGCGAATCCGCGCTTTCCTCGCCAGGCGAGCCATCGAGCCGGTATCGGCGATCAATGGGCGATTGGGGCACACTTTGGGGCCCAAGCGGGCTTGAGCAAGACGAGAGCAGACTGAAGCCCAAAAGGGGCTGAGAAAACCAGGAATCCTGGAGGCACCGCGGGTCTCGAGCATGATGTACGACAGGTTCGTGTCGCGACGACCCTTGCGTTGGTTTCTGACACAGCGTGGATCGCTCAACCTTGAACGATCGTGGCCTTCCGATTCGTCCGATGTCCACCAATTCTGGGCCACTGGGAGCGTCCAAACTCAACCACGAAAGATCATGGCCTTCCGATGGCGCAGAACACCGTGAGAGTTCGAACTCAACCTTGAATGATCGTGGCCTTCCGTTCGCCCAGGTCGTTCGATGTCCGTCGGGCCCAGGCCACCAGGAGCGTTCAAGCTCAACCTTCAAGGATAGCGGCCTTCCGATCGCGCAAATCGTTCGACGTCCGCCGATTCCGGGCCACTGCGATCGGAGGCACGCCCAGGGGGGCCCAGCGCAGATTCAAGAAATCGCCGCGGACCTCCGCGGGATGATGCTTACGCCGTTCCTTGTTTCTCGATTGAACGCCCGCGCTGGGGTCGCCGCCGCGTCGACACGGCACGAACCGACCGCACGTGGCGCCGCGGCCTCTCCGAGAGCGCTTCCAAACGCCCTGATGGCCCCCGGAACGCTTTGGAACGACCTCTTTGCAACGCAAGCCGGTCTGACGTGGGCCTCTGTGGCCACTGCCTGGGCGGCCCTGCCGGGACCCGACCACGACGCGGAGAGGCCAAGCACGGCAGGTATGACGGGCCTTCGCGGCGTCGACGTCGACGACGTGAACCGACTCGACTCGGGGCCGCTCTCGGCGGCGACGACGACGGAGGGGAGGGAGGGATGGGGAGGAGAAAAAGGAAGGAACAAAAAGAATATTAGGACAAGGATGATGATGATGATGATGATGATGATGATGATGATGATGATGATGATGATGATGATGATGATGATGATAAGGAGGAGGAGGAGGAGGAGGAGGAGGAGGAGGAGGAGGAGGGGGAGGGGAAGGGGAAGGGGGAGGAGGAGGAGGAGGAGGAGGAGGAGGAGGAGGAGGAGGAGGAGGAGGGGGAGGAGGAGGGGGAGGGGAAGGGGGAGGAGGAGAAGGAGGAGGAGGAGGAGGAGGAAGAGCAGCGAACACATGAACGAGACGCGCCGAGTCAGGGTGCAGGACGGGGCAGACGGATGGGAAAAGGTGAGAAGAGCACAATCTCTCAATCATAAGAGGAACATGCACGGTAATGAAACATATCCTCACACACCGATCTTATAATGATAGGACAAGTGTGGCAACCCAGGGAAGGCCAGGGGTAGCAGAAAGGGCGGGGGGCGATCAAAACACCAGCCCCCGACAAAAGACAAACAAGTTGAATAAGGATTATGGCATGGGACCAAGCAACTGCACAGCAGGATCGGAGACGAGCATTCTCCTCGGGAGCGGAAGCGGATGCTTTCGGCCATCTCGAGGATGGCGGCCCGAAGCGAAGTTATCTCGGCGCCACTTTCGCTGTGGATTACCTTCGAAGGCCTTGGGCCCCTCACACACATTGTACAACTGCGACCTGTGATATCGCTCGGAAAAGGAGCCGCACTTCACACAGCCTGCCACTTCGCCAGCACGATATGAGACGTGGCCGCGAGCCGCTGATGGGGGAATAACCCCATCCGCAGGGAGGGCACAGCTGGGAGGGGTGGCGTTGGCCCGAGTGGTGGCCGCAGCGAGTCTGGGGCGCTTCTACGAGCCTTGTCCAATCGCAGAAGCAGCCTCGCGCACGCGGGTGACAACTCGAGGCTCAAATTGGACCCTGGGCCCGGCTCGGCGGTCAGGTCTGATAAAAGGCTCCTCCCCTTCTTCCTCAGGCCTCCGAACGATCCCCCCGGCCCGCGAGGGAAGAGACGGCGAGGGGAGGGGTCCAAGGTGAGAGGAGGAGGAGGAGGAGGAGGAGGAAGCGGAGGCCTCACCGCGACGCACCTTCCTATCAGGACCCTCCTCCTCGCCATCCTCCAAGGTGTTGTCGCCCTCCAGGCTCCCCTTGAGGCTAGGGGGGGCATCCTGGGAGGGCGCAGCGGGTGGGCTCACAGCATCGGGCTGGGGTCGGGGCTTGTGAGGTTCAGGAGGGGCCCAAACCGTGCAAACTTCACGAGCCATTCGTTTCCGTCCAGCTGTGGTCCGCGCGAAGCGCTGACAAAACTTGCATGTCCAACCACCTGCCTGCCCTGGGCAAGGGTCGTGCAGGCGCTGGCCCTTCACGAGCGGAGGAAGAGGTCGAGGGCCAGGACGCAGGGGGCGGCGGTGCTTACGACGAGGGCGCCGAGCAGGCGGTGGCTGCTGATCACGTCCGTCAGCAGTTGTCATGGAGTTACCAATCCAGCATGCCACCTGCCTGACAATGTTGAGCATGTGGGCATGGAGGCCTATGACCTCCTTGGGCAGGGCATGCATTGCCAGACCCCGCTTGGCTGCAACGTCCGCGTAGTCATTACCTGTCTTGTCGGTCGTGCCCTCGGCCATCGTCTGGTGAGAGCGAACAAATGGCATCTGAATCTGCGATGATAAGCCGCCATGGTCGTCAAGGGCGTGCCACAGCAGCTTCCATATGTCATTGTTGGGCCTGCTTGAATGGATGCACCATTCGCGACCATGCTGGGATCCTTCAACGATACCGAGACAGTCCGTACGTATGTGCGTCGGGGCCGTGCCGTGTCTCAAGGCCTGGGTAACTGCATAGAGCTCTGTCCGTGGTACTGACTGCTGATGTCCTGGCAAGGGTCCGTATGCAATGCCTCTCATGGTCTGACCTGTCATCACTGCTATGCCCCAGCCCGCTCTGTTGGCTTCTGGCCAGCCAATGGGGGCAAGGCCTAAGCCGTCAGTCTAGATGTCGCCAGTGAGAGCCGCCGTATCACCTCCGTGTGCATATCTCCAGACTTCGCGCATGCACGGTGCAGGAATACGTGGAAGAGCGTCACGAGGCATGAGCGCGCGCGTGAACAAGAGGTCAGACTGAGGAACCGATCGCGCTGCCTGGATCACTTCTGAGTCCACTGCCTCCTCACGCTCCTGCTGCAACATGGGACAACACCAAAGGCGATGATGCAACGTACCTGGGCAGTCCAAGCAATACTGACACAAGTCATCTGGAGCGTAGCCGTACTGGTTAAGCCTAGCTTGAGACCGCTGGCCGCCAATGATCGTGCTGCGCAGCGCCGCACGGGCCTGATCTCCAAGATGCCACTTCTTGGCCAGCTGCTTGGGGGCAAGGAGGAGCTTCAGAGGTGCCATCCAGTACCCACAAGGCCTACGATCAGCTGGTTGACCTTCAGGCGCGTGATCTGTCTGACGACTCCATTCTTCAAAACGCACGTTGACAAAGTCCCTCCTTGCCAGCGTTCCCGTGCACGTAGTCCAGGCTGTGGCCGAGTAAGCGCGCCAGTTGAGACGGTTAAATGCCACCAAGACCGCTCCAGCTGGGCCGGCAATATCCGCATGTCGGGGGCTAGGACCGAGTTGAAGCCGCTGCTGCAAGAAGGCCTGCTCGAGCACATCATTCGGGACCTTGTCTTCCGTGACCAAGAGGGCCCATGTGTAGATAGGCCCCGCTGTAGCCAGGAGTTCAGGGTGCTTATTGTCCCGAGGTTCCAGCCGAGAGGCTAGCCATGTGGACGTGCCAGGGGGGGTCTTCTGCCAGCCGACACGGACCATGTTGACCATTGATTTCAACAGCGCCTTAGTAGCACCGACGATCTGCACGCCATAATGCATAGCTGGGCCTAAGTGTTCTGCCGCCTGCAGTACCCTCCGCCAGCATATTATGTCAAAACATTTACTGATGTCAACCAGGGTGGTGGTGACCGCTTTGGTGGCATGCTGCGAGAAAGCTTCGGCATAGACCATAGTGCGTGCGCCCACATCCAAAGTACACTTCTGCGAACCGAGCGCAAATTAAGGTCTAGAATTATTCGCCACCCATGCTCGAATGTGATCAATCCTCATCTTAGTATAGATGCGATATATCGCTGGAAGCAGGGCAATGGGCCTGAAACCTCCCTGGGGTTTGGCCAGCAACATACTGTGGACATTAAGCACTGCAGAAGGAGGAGGAGGAGGAGGAGGAGGAGAAGGAGGAGGGCGGCGAAGGAAGGAAGGAGGAGGGGAGCAGGAGGAAGGAGGGAGGCGGGAGACGAGGGGGAAGGAGGAGGACAGGGAAGACGGAGGGAAGGACGGGGTAGGGAGGACGGGGAGGAATAAGGGGAGAGGAATAAGGAGGCGGCAAGCAAGATGACCCGAGGCGCCTGCGCTGCCACGATCGCCGCCTGCAGCTGCACGCTGGCCTCCACCGCCGCCGTGGTCGCGGCGGCACCCCCGCCGCCGCCCTCCGCCGCGGCGGCCTGCGGCCACAGTGACCGCCGCCGCCGCCCTCGAGGCGGCCATCGAGGCCTACAGCCAACCCGCATAGTAAGGACGCACGATAAGGATGCAAGGGTCTTGGGCGGCCATTCGGACACTTTGCGAGCGGGGCGCGGCCAGCGGAAGCGGCCAAGGGCCAAGGATGGGCCGAAGGGGAAGGATACAAGGGTAAGTATCCTTGGAACGTGGCTCATCCTTGCTATGCGGGTTGACCATAGGTCGAGGCCTACGTCGAGGCCGCCGCCGAGGCCGCCGTCGTCGCTGTCGTCGTCGTCGCCCCCTCGAATCGGCGGAAATCGGCAGGCTAGTATGCCTCCAATACGACATCGGAACCCACATCGGAATCCCAAGTCGAATCGAATCGGCATCGGAAGACGTCGAAATCGAATCGAGTCGAATCGGAGTCGGAATGAGCCCTGCTCTGGCGGCCGTTCGGGGCAATCCTGGCTCCCCCCCGAACGCTCTCGGCGAGGCGCAGCCGCTGGAGAGGCACGCACCCCGAGCCAGCGTGGCCACGGCCGTGCCGGGTGCGCCTCGCTTTTCCGTGCTGCATGCGCCGACCCGCCCATCCCTGTCTGCGCAGCCCCTGCCTGTGCTCCTTCCGCACTGCGGTGCACGCTTCTCGCGGAGAGCCGCCGAGGCTTCACGGCAAACACAAGAGAGGCCCCCCCCAGACGGGGTCGGAGCAGACGGGGTCGGAGAGTCGCGCGCCGCATCGCCGAAACGTCGGCGATGCACCGGCGACACCTTCGATGCAGCGGCGACTACGGCGTGGAGAACATCGGGCCCCACATCGAGCCGCGCCGCCGATGCATCGGCGATGCGGCGCGACCCTCCGACCCCCTCCGCTCGGACCCCAGAGAAGGAGGAGGAGGAGAGGAGGAGGAGGAGGAGGAGGAGGAGGAGGAGGAGGAGGAGGAGGAGGAGGAGGAGGAGGAGGCCTCGAAAAAAGCCCGAACACGTCGAACTTCGAGCCTCGCCACCGCCACCGCCGGCGGCCGCGGCCTGCAGCCGGGCGGCGACGTCCCGCAGGACCGCGGCCTGGGCGCTGGCGGCGACCTCCTCGGGCAGCGGCGGGAACTCCTCGACGTGGACCAT